GAAAGAGCCCAAGCCCATCTAAGTGTAAAAACTGTGGATGGTGAATGAGGTAACAGGGCAAGGCACGCATGGGTGTTTTCCCAAAATGTGAATAAATGTAAGGGCTCTGTGAATCCAAACTAAAATAACCCAAGACAGCAATGGCTAAGGAAATGTAAAAAGATTTCTCAGCTAAAAACGTTATGACACCAACAAGTTTACTCTAGGTCAGAGGTCAGCAATCTAAACACCCATCCCTTACACACGGTCTTATGGTTGCTTTTACACTACAAAAGCAGGGGTGAGTAGTTGCGAGAGACTGTACAGACTGCAAAAATCTACCCTATTTACTGTCAGATCCCTTACAGAAAAAATTGGCTGCCCCTCGCCCCTCCATCACACTGGATTGTGTGGGACTTTTGACAAGAAATTTATGGTGACAAATATTAAAGATTAGTCTCTTCTGACACGTTAATGTTCTGCACGGTTACAACATCTTCCCTAGGAATGCTCAGAAATGTTCGGATATTTAAAATTATCCCTCTTTTAAACATGTACTTGAGGGCATAGATAAGAAAAAAAGGACTGATATATTTTTAAAGAGTGCCTAGTATGGGTCAGGCACTTTATGTGATGCGCCTTTTAATTCTAACAACCTCAAGAGGGGGTCACTAATATTGTTATCCCCAACTACACGTGCGGATACTGATGCTCACACAGGCTGTGTGCCTAGCTCAAAGAACACACTGATACCAAATGGCTTCACTACCCCATCTGCCTTTTCTCCGAAGCTCTTTCTACACCTATGGTGTGAAGTTGAAAACATATAGTTAATAAATGGTGTTGCTTCTAACCCCGTCGTCGCAGGACTGCTTGGATTTGGATCTTCACTCCACTTCCTGCTAGCTGTGTGACCTTGGGGAAAATCACTTGACTTCTCTGTGTTAGCCTCCTTAGCTGTAAGTTGAGAGTAATACCTTAATATTATCACTGTTAGGTAGGGTGAGGATTAAATGGGTCATACAGCTGACTCGTGAAAAACGTGGGGGTTAGGAATGCTGACCCCTCCTCACCCCTCAGGTAGCAAAAATCCATGGGTAACTTTTGACTCCCCCCCCAAACTGAACTGCTAATAGCCTACTGTTCATAGGAAGCCTTATCAACAACACATGACGTCGATCAACACATTACTGTGTGTTGTTATGTATTATATACTATATTGCAATAAAGTAAGCTACAATATAAAGTATTAAGAAAATCCTAAGGAAATATTTCTAAAACTGTATGTGTTTATTGAGAAAACAAATCTGCATGTAAGTTGACCTCCACAGTTCAAATCCATATTATTCAAGGGTCAGCCATATATATAAAGTACTTGGAGCTGACCCTGTGGCACAGTTCTGAGTTGTTTAATTATAAACTCTTACTAGGGGAGCATAAAATCAGGGGATCAAAAGATAAGTGGGGAAAAAAATCTAGAACGCAACAACTAAGCCAAGGTCAGAGCAATGCTACATTTTGTTGACTAAAAGTGCCTTGGAGAATCCAAGTACTCCTAGTATCAACTTGCTTAAACCAAAGACTGTTATGTCCCTCTATAGAGTGAGAATGGAAAAGAAGAGTGAGCCCACAAGAGGTGCTTCCAGAATCTACAAATATGGCACAATTTGAGAAGAAATGCTTACAACATCACTTCTCATCAACAATGACTCCACGATGACATGATTCAAAGAGGCCATGTGGTTTCTGTTTGACCCACACGATATATGGTAGCTCTTTCAGTCCAGTTCAATGGAAAGCAAAGTTGGTTTCACGAGAGCCAATTTGATTACTCTTTAGACTGCACACAGATGTGGGAGAAGCGAATCTGCAAGAAGACTAACTTATTTTCCACTACATTAAGCAAGACACTGAAACCTGAAGACAACTCTGAATTTCCCAGAGCTAAAATCATGCTGTAGAGGAAACTCAGAATCTTGAATTTGTCATATATGGCCAATCAATGGGTAACTCAAGAAATCATTAAGAGAGCAGTGAGTTCGAGGGTTTTTTTCTTTCATGTTCAGCATTTACTCTCCCATTTCTGGTTTATATACTTGTTTTTCACACTTGGGAACCAAATCTCTCATCCCTAACCCCCATGTGGTTCACATGGGGTGAAGGGTGAACGTCTCTATGTGCTCTGGAGGTGGCCATGCGATGGAAGGAAGGCTGGCTACAACACTGTGACTGGCTCAAAGCTGGAACACGTGACTCAATCTGGGTCAGTGGGTCAGGGGGAGCCTGCTCGGGACTACTGGTGGACGACAGAAAAAGAGGTGCACTGTGAGATGGATCAACTTGTGGCATATAGATTTGTCGTCTTTAGTTCTACTTGGAAAGAGCCTAAGAATGAAGGCAACACAGAAGAAAACCAAGCCAACAGACACAAAACCAATGCTCCAATAGGCTTGTTTAAGCTTCTAGATCCAGCCATGCTTGAGGCAGCTATCCCACTGGACTTCCTAGTTATAAGAGCCAATTATCACTCCCCAACTCCCCCCTGCCGTCTTGGGGGGGAGGGGAGAAAGGGGTTAAACCAGGTCTGTAGCTTACAAGTGAAGTCTTCTACCAAACAGAAGTCATTAAGTACTAAGAGATAAACAGGCAACCATGGCAGGTTCATAGCGGCTACCCAATCCACTGAGCAAACATGAACCAAGAACATGTCACGTCATGTGCGAAACCACAATAATTGACAGATGGTTTCCTATAAAGATCCAGGCTCCAAATATCCTTAAAAGGGGATTAAAAAAAAAAAATTCATTAGTCTAGGCCCCAATTTTCATGATCATTAGATTCTTTTCTTTCGTATGAGGTTGGTTTAAAATTGTGCTATCTCATTGTGGAGACACAAGAAAAAAATTACATATATATATATATACATATATATGTGTATATATATATATATGTTTATATATATATATATACACATATATATGTATATATATATATACATATATATGTGTATATATATGTGTGTGTATATATATATATATATATAAAAAATTGTCAGCTTAGTGATAAATGGACTTGTGATTTGAGGTTGAGGGTGGAAATACTCTGATTATTAACAACATTTTTTAAATGGATCATACTGAAAAACTGCCTTTTTCCCTATGTGGCTCTAAAACTGATACACCAAGAAGAGTCATAGCAATTGTGTATTTTTAAAGACTTTATGAAAATACATCCTATTTACAGATGGTTATCGACCATTCTAGAGATAAGTGAAATTAGCACCAATGTATTTATCAAAACTAGCACTGGTGAAGAAGGTGAAATCAGAATTTGAAAGTGGTTTCTGCCAAAGTCTTTTTCTCTCATTATCTAAATACAATTAGGCAAAAACAAAACAAAGATTTATAATGAGTGATTTATAAGAGAACAAAGCCCAATAACACAACTAGCTTGAATCAGAATAATTGTAAAGGGCTTTTGCTTACTTTAAAGTATCACTGTTCTTGATTGTTCATATTTAGGAACAAATTTTAGGCATCTCTTCTGAAAAAAAATTTTTTAAAAAAAATTTTTTTTTCAACGTTTATTTATTTTTGGGACAGAGAGAGACAGAGCATGAACAGGGGAGGGGCAGAGAGAGAGGGAGACACAGAATCGGAAACAGGCTCCAGGCTCTGAGCCATCGGCCCAGAGCGTGACGCGGGGCTCGAACTCACGGACCGCGAGATCGTGACCTGGCTGAAGTCGGACGCTTAACCGACTGCGCCACCCAGGCGCCCCGTGAAAAATTTTTTAAGTACTTAACTTTCTAATGACTACATAATGCTCATCAAGTAAAATATTAAAGCTGGGAAGCTCTGAAATAGATTCACAGTCTTCATTAATTAAAACACCATATCAGTGAAACTCCTTTCAGGTAAACAACAAATGGATCTTTAATGGTACGTTTTTAAAATAGTTGTATGCAGATCCATAAGGCTAAATATAGAGACTACTTTAAGAATATACAGACCACACAAAACTAGAAACCTGTACACAGATCAGCTGTTTTCTATTTCTGGGGGCTTGAACGAGAGGGAAAAGCCAAAAGCAAAGACCTCCCAACTCCCAATCTATAAGCCATCATGAAGTTGGACATAAAGGAGTGATACGCGTGCGTATGTTCAATTATTGCGTAATATATAAATATGCTAAATACAATGTATTATTATATTCAGCCCATCTGCCAATGATTTGGTGATACTACTGATAAATTTATGGGGTATCAATAACACAGGGCAGTTTAGTCTGAATATGGTCAAAGGACAAGGTACGGTACAGAGGAGAAATACTAAGCTGCAGTGCAGAAGCATTTCATTTCAACTCTGAGATGATTAATCTATCATTTCTTTACAGAGATACTTTAACAATGTTACAGACTTAAGTGGGATAATCCAAGTTTTCGTCATACTTTAATGGTACAAATTAAAGTTACTCCATTCTCCCCATAAGGACAAGAATTGGAACTACAGTCAACACCAGGATGGAAAGGTAAGAAGCAACTTGGCAGCATTTCCTTGGCACCCATTTCTTAAGTGTGTAAGTCATGTGTATAAAAATGAAGGGGACCAGTCACTAAGCTGCAACCGGCCGTGAAGTGACAGCAGTCTTGTAAACTTAAGAGTATGTCAGTGACTCAGTATGCAGACCAATGAATACAAGTGAAAACTGAATTCTGGCAAATTTAGTACTGGGAAAATTTTTATTTAATCACTGTCATCCTGAGGAAATGGGTAAACGATAGACTCTCACCAAGAGCATCAAAACTACCCTTGGGTGAACCTCTTTCGCCCTTTACCATCTACCCTCCGCAGATTCTGGGACTATTCCTAGGATGACGTGCTAGCCCTTAGGATCTAGAGTCCATTCTCAAAATGGGGGGTGTGAAACCCTCCATCAAAAAGGTATTTTATAAGGAAAAGCATGAGCAGTGGGAGGTGACAGCTATGTAAGAGAAGAAAGCGATATAAAATCATTCTTACTTCAGAAATGATTGGAAATCTTCGCACACTGCTTCACAGCCTGGCCACTTGCATACACCATGTCCGTAGAGAGGATGGCTATGGGGGTGCTCCTCGTGGGACAAACTGAAAAAAAACACACACGCACACACACACACACAAGGACAAGAGAATGAATTTGTTGCCAAGAACCATCCCAACAGGCTTAAAAGGCAAGAGGAACCCACAAGTCTGAAAGTGGACATGGAGAAATCTAGGGTTTCTTTTCCCCAGGCATTTACAAATTAATTCTGCATTGTTATCTAAAAGCAAGAGTTAAATTCCAGACTGTGACTAGTCCAATGTTAGAAATGTACCACCACGTATGAAAAGTGTTTGACAGGCTTTTGTTAGAGGCAAAGCTCTCTACTCAAACTGTGAAGGATTCTTTAAAAAGCTAGAATTTATCATTTAATCTACATAATGAAAATGATCAAATCTGTACTTGATTTTGAGATTCTCTTGCTGTTTTCTACCCAGGATATTATACATTTTCCTCCTCCCTTCCGCTAGAAAACTGCTTTCACATAATTGTATGATCTTTTCACAAATTAATTTTATCAAGCACCGAATAGAGCAATTAAATAATTTAGCATCAAATAACTTAGCAAGACAAATATATCCAAGTAGATGATTAGCTTAAAAACACTAGCGACAGCAGGAAGATTACATCCCTAAAATTATAGACACCACGACTGAGAAAAAACTTGGCATGAACACAAGGGGTTAATCCTTCAGTGGGGTTCCAATCAATATGTAATGATTTGACCACAAGGATCCAAGTCATGGGATGCTTTGATCCACACCATGTGGTGCTTGGGGAAGTGTATCTGTTGCACTCGCTGATGATCCATATTCTCAAATATTTTCTCTATTAGATTTCTGCATCCAGACTTCTTTCAGACAAATTATTTTTACAGTCATTTCCATAACCTTAGATTCCATCAAATAGAAATGTAAAACTAACATTCAGAGTTCTGTTTCATACTCAAGCACATTCTCTTCAAGGAAAGGGCTATTTTGCAACTTATTCCACTGTCTGTCTGTGATTCTGAACTTGAATCATGACTCCATACACATACACGCAAGCGCGCACACATGTGCAGCTTGTAGATTACCACAAGGATGCGTATTCACATATTATCGATTGATTCACATTCACAGAGCAGACATACACAAACGCCACTTGTCCCTGACTTACAATGAATCCGCATTTGGCATATTACCAACAGTTAAACTAAGGAGCACTAAGAGTAAACACACATGTGCATAGAACTACACCTTATCAAAGATCAATAGGTCTATCTATGGCTTTTAAATAATTATGTTGGAAATTTAACATAATTTGAAAAGAGCGATCAGTTTTTTTTTTTTGCCTCTAAACAGAAAATGAATCTGGAAACCAAAAAAAAAAAAAAAGTTACACAAGTCTTACTGATAAAGGTGCCCCTCATGAGAGAAAAGAGTAACACAAGTGAACGAAGGTAGCTCTATAATGAGAGGTACACAGCCCCGTGGCCAAAGGATATTCTCTAAGCAGTTAAGAGGGCAAAAGTCCACTGGACCAATGGAAAGAATTACTACCAATCCAAGATCATCTTCAGATTTTTTTTAATGTTTATTTATTTTTGAGAGAGAGAGAGAGAGAGAGAGAGCCAGAGTGCGAGCAAGAGAGGGCAGAGAGAGAAGGAGACACAGAATTGGAAGCAGGCTCCAGGCTCTGAGCTGTCAGCAGCGAACCGGATGCAGGGCTCAAACTCACAAACCGCGAGATCATGACCTGAGCTGAAGTTGGACGCTCAACTAACTGAAGCCATCCAGGCGCCCCACATCTTCAGAATTTTTAAACAATAAATTAGAAATGATGACCTAAGATGATGTTAGTGTAACTATTTTGGTAATCATGTCATGATACATGTAAGTCAAATCATTATGCTGTACAACTTATACAATGCTCTACATCAGTTTTACCTCACTAACACTAGAAAAATAGACATGATACAAAAACAGAATTTTAAAAAATTACTGACAATATTTGAAACTAAAGAGTCCTTCTAAGGACTGAATTCTCAGCTATTCTGAGGGAGGGAAACCATTGAAAATGAAAACTATTCCTATCAATAGCATGGAAAGAAAAAAAAACCTAACCATAGTTATGTTCTTTACCAACTTCATTAAGATTAATTAAAATATTTTCATAATGTTAAAATTTTTTATATCTATAAAAATATATAATACACATTTTTCAGAAATTAAGGCATGAAGATTTCTATCACCCATTTATAAATATTTTCAAAAATGTTTACTGAGGGAGAGAGAGCATGCACATGTGAGGCAGGGGGAAGGGCAGAGAGGGGAGAGACAGAGGATCCAAATCCAAAGCTGACTCTGCACAGTCAGCAGAGTCAGATGTGGGGCTTGAACCCACGAACCGCGTGACCACGACCTGAGCCGAAACTAAGAGTCAGAAGCTTAACCGACTTAGCCACTCAGGTGCCCCTCGTCCTTTTATATTTAACCTAATCTTGTTATTAAAGAATTTCTGTTATCGGCTAGTCTTCAAAATCCTTATTTACTAAAGCAAAGAGCCCACCATAAACCATCTTAGCTCTAGTTACATACTGAAATTGGTCAAACCGTCCCTCTACTTTGGACACTGAGACTCCCTTCATGTTTCGTACGCCTATGAACAATGTTAAAAATAAAATTTACCAGGTCAAACATCCCAGTATATAACTGATTTTTACAAGATGCATTCAGAGAAATGGAATGAGTCAATTAATGAGTACTCAGTTTTAAAATTCACTATGAATATTCTATCAAGTTGCTCTCGAGAGATGCTGCATGCCGACTACGTTCTTAACCATTATACATACTTTGTGTAATTCCTTAAGTTGGAAACCAAACGCCTCAACTGGTTAGGGTTTAAAATTAATACCACTAGTTAAAAACTGCCAACGGTTATTCTTCTGTGCTTTTTTTGTTAAGCGGAGAGTGTCCTGAAACTAACAGTATGAAAGAAAATGGTAGGTGTTCGCTGGAGGAATTTATGATTACAAATAAAATATACATGATTTAACATGGGCTCTGCCATCCTTTCTCCCCCTACCCCATCCCTCTGCTTTTTGGTTAGGTTATTTGTGAAGGCCCCGCGGCCTGAATAAAAACTACTCTGCTCCAAGAATTTATTTTTAGTTCAACTTGGTATCCTTATTTTTCAGAGTGAGAACAAAGGACTGTCCACTAAGACTTTATAGAAAGACAAGGCTCCCAGAACTAAAGAAACCCAAAACCCCCACACACATGTACACAGTTACATACTCAGAATACCTCTTGAAAACTTGCCTCTACATTAAAACAACATTTACTATGAAAATAAGATATGCTCTTATTTTCCTAAGCTCACACAGCGATAACGCTGAGACGGCTACTAAAGAAAGTCCATTCCCCTGCCACCCTATCCCCACTCCACACGGAATTAACCCACCCTAGATAATAACACTGTTAACATCTGGTACGTTATTGTGCTTTTTCTTCTAACACATCACTAGTTTATGAAAATGGAAACATACTATCTACTGCCACCTGTTTTTCATGTTTGATATATAATTCAATACTTCTATTTATTTTGTGCGTCTCACAGATACTTTTATTCATGCTGTGAAGGAAAAAATACTGTTTTAAAAAATTTTTACTTATTTTTTGGGAGTGGTTCGGGAAGGGCAGAGAGAGAGGGTGAGAAAATAGAAGCAGGCTCCAGGCTCCGAGCTATCAGCACAGAGCCCGGCACGGCGCCTGAACTCACAAACCATGAGATCGTGGCCTGAGCCAAAGCAGGAAGCTTAACCAGCTGAGCCACCCAGGCGCCCCTGAAAAAAAAGCACTTCTAAAAGTGTTCAGTGATGGATGTTCCACAACGCAGCTTACTGCAATTTACAGCCAGACTGGTGTTCCCAGCTAACATGTGTTCCAAATAAAGCTGGTTAATGACGACCACGAGCAGGTGTAGGACTTGAAACTTTGAAATCTTTACTTCCTTTTTTGAAAAATTAATAAACTGATTAAGAGAGAGAGAATATCTCAAGCAGGCTCCACACTCAGTGCAGAGCCTGAAGCAGGGCTTGATCTCATAACCATGAGAACACGACCTGAACTGAATTCAAGAGTCCGACACTTAACCAACTGAGCCATCCAGGCTCCCCTAAATCTTGACTTCGTTTATCAGCACTCCTGACTCCACAAAAGATGAAACCCAATCAACCCCATTCCTAACCAAATGTCCTGGTAAACTTAGGTACAGTAGGACTTCATGGGGATCCAAACATTTTTAATAAGGTTTTGAAGCATCCTGGTGCGCAGGACCACTGGCTTAGGCCACCATGACCTGCATGGCCAGTGAGTATAATTGGATACTTTTAAATACATGGTTGTCTGAAATAAAATGCTAGGCTTTGAAAGGAAAAGAAACAGGCTGGCAGTAGTGCTCTGACAGAGCATCTCTGGAAAAACCCATAAGAAAACACACTGTCAGAGGTGGTGAAGAAACAGAATTTTCACCATGTCACGTTTGAAGTTTTTATTTTATGCACTGTAGGAAGGCTGTGCTGTTCGACTGTTAATTTTTTTCATTTACATGTATGAATATATACCTATATGTGCACACATGACAAAATCAAGTGCGACTCAGGACTCAACTTTGAGACTGCCATCTTCCTCGACAGTGGCACAGCAAAGCGCACAGCATGGGTGGCTGAGTCCAGCTCCTGGCCTTTCAAGCACGCTATGTGGTATACCAGCTGTACTTGTGAATGGGAGCTCTTCTGTTTCACTGGAAATGTGGAACAAACATTTATATTCTGACTGCCTTTTGGGATGGGCCAAAAAGTGAAAGAAGAAAATGAGTAAAAAATGTTTTTTAACTTGAATTACTTATACATGTTTATAGGCTGAAACATGGTGGAAGACGGCAATCCAAGGACCCGACGGTCAGGTAAAATCAGTGAGCCCAATCATTTCAATAAGCTGTCCTAGGTAAACTCAGCAACGTGCAAAGTATATACTTCCGGAAAGCTGCCAAAGCCAAGGAT